GTGACGAGGCCAAGTGTGGGCCCCGCTGACTTCCGTGTCGCTATCCATCACGTATGACTTCTGTTTATGTCCCGCCTTGTTCCCACAGGGTTTGAAGCTGCTGGGAGGAATAGCTACACTCGTATCCAAGTCATAAGGCTGTCGTAAGACTTAAATGTGGAAAATTACAAAGAGCAAAACAAACGTGATATTCTTACTATTTTCTCCTAAAAGGAATTAGTCTGACCTTCTCTGGCCCCTGGTGGTGTCTCTGATATAAGTCTGTCGTTGTCCATGTTCCCTGCACTTGAAATATATCCAGGATTTAATCTCGGCAATAAACCAATGCAGGTGGCCCCCAGTGTCCTCACTCTATAGGCTGGAGAGCTAAAGCTCAAAGTTCGTATAATTTGCTCAAGATCTTATGGCTCCTAAGTGGCAGTTGTACCATAAGACAGTGATTCTAACCCAGGGATCACAAACTCAGATCCTCCCTGGCAGTGCATGGACTGGACTGAAGACAACAGAGAGGAGTAGGGCTTGTGGCCCCCTCCGGGCACCGTGTCTTAGAGATGCTAAGGCGACCGGTGGGGAGTGGGCTGGCTTCTCAACCTTTGGACAGGCTGGGCCAGCCAATCACAACACTGTGGCCACTTCTGTCTTAACCACTGGTTTTAACTGCCTCCCCCACAAAAAGCTCCTCTCTGCTGCCACTGCCACCAGCCAGGTTCTTGTGCCTCACACCAGGGATGTGGCAGGACCCTGCCTCATGACTTTTCTGCCCCCAGACTCACCCATACTGGTTTATCTGCTTATCAGATCATCCCCTCCCTGAGCACTCCACTCCCACGGGGACCTCCTTCCAACAGATATGTACTCCAGGAACCGTGAGAGAGTCGGAGGAACAAAGACTTTGCAGCCAGACAGTTCTGGGTTCAAATCCCACCTCTGCCACTTATGAGCTGAGTCACCTTAGATGTGTTATGTAACCTCCTTGAAACTCATTTTCTCTTTTTAAGAGGAGGAGGGTGATGACACATCACGCCACCTAGAACAATAAGTGCATTCGCAGTTGTAAAGAGCTTAGCCCAATGCCGGGTATTCACTCACAGGTATTCACCCCACATGAACAGCAGACATACAAACACTCCTTGGTGGCTTCTTCCTTAGGGACTCAGGCTGGGACCAAGTTGGTAATCACTCCCTCTGCATTTGCTCTCCAAGCCTGGGAAGTCCAGGAGGAGGGCTGACTCACCTAGCTAATAAAAGGAACACTCAGGGCTAGGCGCGGTGGTTTATGTCTGTAATCCCAGCACTTTGTGGGGGGGGACCGAGGTGGAAGGATCACTTGAGGCCAGGAGTTCTAGACCAGCCTAGGCAACATAGCGAGATCTCACTTCTACAAAAAATGTTTAAAAAATTAGCCAGGCGTGGTGGCACATGCCTGTAGTTCCAGCTACTTGGGAGGCTGAGGCAGAAAATAGCCTGAGGCCAGGAGGTTGAGGCTGTGGTGACCATGATCGTGCCACTGCACTCCAGACTGGGAGATGGGGGAGGCCCTGCCTCAACAACAACAAAAAAGGAACTCAGGTTTAAACTCAGGTCAGTTTTTCATCAGCAAAATGGAGACAGAAACTCCTGCTATGTGTGGCCATTGCACAGACTCAGAGAAGACACCAGTGGCAGAAGGCTGAAAGCTAGACTGAAAGCTGAGCTGACTCCCACCCAGCCCATAGCAGGGCTGCAGAGCTGACTTTCTCTCAAGCCCTTCATAGACCCCGTGTCTGATTCTTGAAGGCCTCACCCTCACTGTGACAAACATGAGAACACACCCACATGGCCTGGTGTAGTGGCTCACACCTATAATCCCAATACTTTGAGAGGCCAAGGCAGGAAGATTGCTTGAGCCCAGGAGTTCAAGACCAGCCTGGACAACAAAGAGAGATCTCAATTCTACAAAAAATGTTTTTTTTAATTAGCCGGTCTTGGTGGTGTGTGCCTGTAGTCCCAGCTATTCGGGAAGCTGAGATGGAAGGATTACCTGTTCCCAGAAGCTCAAGGCTGTGGTGAGTTGTGATTATGCCACTGCACTCTAGCCTGGGAGACAGAGTGAGACTGACTCAAATAAAGAAAATGAGCTGGGCTCGGTGGCTCAGCCTGTAATCCCGCGCTTTGGGAGGCTGAGGTGAGTGGATTGCCTGAGCTGCGGGTTCGAGACCCGCCTGGGCAACTTGGTGAGACCTCGTCTCTACAACAAATCAAAAAATTAGCCGGGCGTGGTAGCACGCGCCTATAGTTCCAGCTACTTGGAAGGCTGAGGCAGAAGGATCGCCGGAGCCCAACAGAGGGAGGCTGCAGTGGCCGGGAGCGGCCACTGCACTCCAGTCTGGGCGACAGAGTGAGACTCCAACTCAAAAAAAAAAAAAGAAAAAGAAAATACACCCACATCCCTCACTAAATCTAACTCTGCTTTGCTTTAAAAGAGTTTTAATAAAGTTGTTTTTGAAAGTACTCGGCTATGAGTGTTTTAATTTACTATTGGCTATGATTTCTCTTTAATCATCCTGCATATTGTGGAACTCTTGCCAAAACCTCAACTTACAAATTGTTTTCAAATATGATGACATTTGTATTCGTATTAACTTAATATTAAAATCAACATGTTACTTCCTGAAGGCATTTTATTAAGTATTTGTCAATTTCAACTTTGCTGTTTTCATATTTTGCAGCCCCCAAAGTCATCCGTTCAGCTCTCCTCTGTTTCCTGGGATCCTTGAATGCCAGCCGTGCCCCAGACAAGACAGGCTTACTCACAAAGTCAGGGCACTCGGATGGTCCCTATCTCTAGACACAGAGACCACCCACCCCAGATTGTCCGGTGCAGCCTAACAAAGTCATTTGTCAAACATTGGGTTAAAAGTGATGTGATGCTTAAACTTTGTTGGAATTTGACATAAAAAAATTCACAAATGAGTCAATACTTTGCCAGGGTAAGTATTCTGATGTAGGGTTTAGGAATCAGGATTGGGATACGTCATGGCTCATTGCCTGCAATCTCAGCGCCGTGGGAGGTTGAAGTGGGAGGACTGCTTGAGCCCAGGTGTTTGAGACCAGCCTAGGCAACATCTCTACAAAAAAAAATTTTAAGTAGCCAGGTATGGTGACCCACGCTTATAGTCCCAGCTATTCTGGAAGCTGAGGGGGAAGGATCGCCTGAGCCCAGGTCGAGACTGTGGTGCACCGTGATCACGCCATTGTACTCCAGCCTAGACGACAGAGACCCTGACTCAAAAAAAGAAAAAGAAAAGTGAGTCTCCTTCATCCTTGAAAAGCACGGCTTCCTGGGCCTCTGAGGACTGGCGTGGGTGGAGGAGCCCTGGACATAGAGTTCCAGCCCAGGCGTGGCCACTGGCCACTTCCTCCCCAGCCTATCTCCTGAGCAGAAATCAGTCAGAATTGTGGGACCCCTGGGTCCTCATCCAACTGTAACATTCAATTCTGTGATACGTAAGTAGCTAGACAGAATTGGCAAGAGGCGCCTTCTGGAAGCAAAAAGCCCTGGGTTTCGGCCAGGAAGAGACCTGGCTAGCGGTCCTCAGGAGGACGAGGACGAGGAGAGCATCTGCCCGGGGCACCCGCTGAGGCGGCCCAGGCCAGATGCAGACAAGCTTGCCTGCCTGCTGAGAGGCAAGGCTGGGGGAGAGCAGTTGATAGGAAGGGAGGAGGAACCCCGGCCTCCCAGCCTTACGCTCCCACTGCTCCCTGGCCAGACCCTCGATTTCACGGGCACACGCTGTTCTAAGGCTAATGGGTTCTGAAGCTGCCAGCCAGGAAAGGCTCTTTCCTTCCCCACCCAACGGCGGCAGTGACAGACTTCCCTGCCGCCCTCTGGGTCCCTGCACACCCAGGGCACATCCCACTTTCTTTCTGTGCGTGGGTAACAGGCTCCAGCAACCTCTGTGCCAAGGTGTTCCAGCAACACTATGTTAAACATGGGACAGAAGCTGGCTGGGCGCAGTGGCTCATGCCTGTAATCCCAGCACCTTGGGAGGCCGAAGCAGGAGAATTGCTTGAGTCCAAAAGTTTCAGACCAGCCGACAAAAAAAATAAGCTGGGTGTGGCAGCACAGGCCTGTAGCCCCACGGCAGTGAGCCATGATCATGCCACTGCCCTCCAGCCTGGGTGACAGAGTGAGACCCTGACAAAAAACAAAAACATGGGACAGAAGCTGAGTTGGCTAAGGCCGGAGGCCACATGCACAGGCCTGCTCCAACCTTTTGCAACAGAATCTGCCTGGGAGGCTGCAGACGGCTGTGCCACCACCGTCCATTGAACTGAATCCCCAAGGGTGGGACCTGGAAAGGTTATTTCATTTTGTTTTATTTAGTTGCAGTCTCACTCTGTCACCCAGGCTGGAGTGCAGTGGCGCGCTCGCATCCACCGCAGTCTTGACCTGCTGGGCTCAGGCGATCCTTCCACCTCTGCTTTCCAAGTAGTTGGAACCACAGGCATGTGCCACCACACCTGGCTCATTTTTTGATGTATTGTAAAGACACAGGCTTGCCAAGGTACCCAGGCAGGTCTTGAACCCCTGGGCTTAGGCAATCCTCTTGCCTCTGCCTCCCAAAGTGCTGGGGTTACAGGTGTGAGCCACCACGCCCAGCCGAAAGGGCATTTTAAACAAGATCCCATTAGATACCGGCCTTTGGGCAGCCTAGGAGTACGAGCACCCACGTCCATCAGACTGTCCCCTAAGAGGTGAGGAGGAAGGGCAAGGTGGGACGGGATGCCATCCCCCAGATTGGCGTGACGGGGATGCGCCACACACCTGGAGCTCGGTGTCCCAAGGGAACAGGCTGGCTGAGGGTCCATCAGTGCCTCCTCTCCCCCATGGCTTCGTCAGTTTCCCCGCCCGAAACACACACATCACCCAAGCCCAGTCCCTCCACACAGAAGGTGCTGGCTCCCACCCATGACCACCCTGACCATGCTCTCCCTCTCCCAACAGAGACCCCACCTGCCTCATTACTTAAATAATCTTTATTTCTCATGCACTAGGAAAGGTGGGTCGTATGAAATAATTGCATTTCACAGCAAAGGCCTCGGTCCAGAACACAACACGGGGGCCAGCTAGGACCCAGATCCAGTCACAGCTCTGGGGGCCACCCTAGGATACCCCTCCCAGGGATGGTGGCAGATCCGGGATCCAGCAGCCGCAGCAGGGGCCCCAGACATGGCATGGGGCGCTGTCCTCCCCCACAGAGGCACAGAACGCCAACACCAAAGGAGCACGTGGGCTGCTAGCCAGTGACTCGGCAAAGACGGTGGTCCAGCACCCCAAGGCCAGAGTCTGCCCCTCAGGCTAGGCAGCCCAGGGATGTAGCCAAGCTCTCGGCCCAGTCTCATCCAGCACAGAGCTCCTGGGGCCGAAGACATTTGGCAATCCCGTGCCCACAGGCCCTACCTGGCTTTCCCACTGGCCACATAAACAAGACAGGGACCCAAGCTCCACCCCGGCCAAAGCGTCAACGTGCCCAGGCAGCACCCCAAAGGCTAGAGGGGCCAGCCCTCCACCACCATCCCAAGCCCCTGTGGACACCAGAGAAGCCCCCTGGTACAGCCAGGTTTCTGGGGACCCCAGGACAGGGCCACCGGCAGAGTTAGCCCTCAAAGCCTCAGCCATCAGGTGGCACCTGGCCAAGACAACGGTGAGGCAGATTCCTGGGCACTGCTTTCATGGGCCACCCAGGGACAGTGACATGGTCAGAGACATGCAAGACAGAGACAAGGAAGAAGGGAAACATGCAGAGACCACAACAGGGCAGGAGGGGTCTGAGGACAAAACGCAGTCACGGTGCTGAGATGTGGCGGGGCGGGCCGGGCCCACTAAGGCCCTGGGCTTGTGGCGACAGTCACCTCCTCCGGGATGGTCTCCAGCATCTCACTCTGGACGGCCTGCGTGATAAGCGCCAGCTCCTGGCAAAGGGTCTCATAGCGGTAGCCCACGCGGATGTCGGGCACGTTGGTACGGCGGATGTCGTTCCCCTCGGGGCCCTCCTTGGTGTAGTTGGGTCCCAGCCAGTGGCTCTTGACCTGCGGGGAGCGGGGGAAACTGGCAGGGCTACAGCCAGCTCTGAGGGGCCGTGCCCCACCCGAAACCAACCCAGGGTCCCAGGAGACGGGAGGTGTGACGCCGGGTCCCGGTGGCAGGCCCAGTACCTTGTGGGAGAAGCCACTCATGAGCACACTGTTGCGGGCCAGCTCGCACATGTCACAGGAGCTGAGCTTCCACACCTGGGTGGCGATGCTGTACTCCTCCATCAGCGGCTCCTGCAGGGGACAGGTTCCCTCAGACCCTGCTCACCAGGCCACCGCCCTTCCGGCCCCTCCTCCTGGTGGAGGGGGAAGGATGGGGTAGGGAGGGGTAGGGAGGGGTGGACTGGCTGCTTGGTCTGCTATCCTCTGCCAGCAGGGGGCAGCACCGACCCTCCAGACCCCTGTGCCCCAGGCCGCCCTGCCGTCCAGTGGCCTCCTGGGCTCTGACCTTGGTGAAGTGGAACTGCAGGGGATCGTCAGTGGACAGGGAGACCATGAGCCCGCGGGACAGGTACTCGGGCAGCGGGTTCCGGTGGTAGCTGAGGAAGAGGCTGTTGTTGCTGAGCGGAGACATGGCGATGCCGATCTGGGCCAGGTAATACAGATACTGCAGGACTGGGGCCTGGACGGGCGGCAGGGAAGGGGCCTGTCAGGCAGCCTCGAGGCTGGGGAGGGCGTGCCGGGGCTGGGGGGTCGTGGCCAGGGAGAGGAGCCCAGGCTGGGCCTGACGTGCACAGGGCGAGCGGCAGCCAGAGCCAAGTCTGGAGGCAGGGGTGGGGAAGACTAGTGGGGGGCTGGGAGGGAGGAGGATCAGCTGCTGAAGGGTCCAAAGGGCCCGGGGGCGGGGCTGGGGGCGCAGACCCTGACCTTGCGCAGAAGCAGCCCATGGGAGATGTTCTCAGCCAGCATAAAGGCTGACACCAGGTGGTGGATGGGCCCGGCCTCCCCGCAGTGTGGCCTCAGCACAAACGTGTGGAAGCCCCTCTCCCTGGGGGGCATGAAGACAGGGTCAGCTCCTGAGCCGGGAGCGCCCGACCCCCCACCCCAGCACACGCATGCCCGCCAGCCGGTGACCGGGCGGGGCCGGGGAGGGGGCAAGGCGAGATGCCTGGCTGTGAGGGGTGAGGGCTGGAACCCCAAGGCTGGAGGAGAAGCCCATCTGGTCTAACATCGGGGCGGCAGGTGGGTCGGGACTCTGGTGGCACCAGCCCAGGGTGCCCAGAGTGAGGTCTGCTAGGTGAGGGCGCTACACACCTGCGCAGGTGGTTCAGCGTGGCCATGTTGGCGAAGGTATAGTACAGGTAGTAGGCATAGGGCGGGTTGTCCTCCTCCAACCATGCCTCAGGCAGCGGGCTCTCCAGGTTGAAGACGTGGTTCTCGGGCTTGGACTCATCGTCCACACTGTCAAAACCATCCACCTGCCACAGGACCCCGTGTCAGGCCCGGAACCACCGCGGGGGCCCAGGACCCCGGCCGTTCTCCCCATTCCAGCCCTGCACTGCCTGCTCACGTGCTCCAGGAAGAGGTGCAGCTCTGGGTGGCTGGCAGGGTGCACGGTGGCCTCGAACAGTGGTAGGAAGATGTTCTCCAGCATCTCCTGGAAGTTGGCCAGCTGGCCCTTGGTGCGGTACACATCACTGCAGGCAAGGTGGAACACACAGGCGTGTGCGGGTCAGGGCTGGTGGGGATCACAGCTTAGCCCAAGGGCACAGATACACGCTGTCAACACACTGGGATCCTGAGGACGCCAGCTGGGCTAGGCTGCACAGAGCACAGGTGGGACAGGGAGGCGACCCCTTGCACTCGGAGGGCTCGGCAAGGACAGTAAAGGATGTTCAGACATCCCAGGAGGGGAGGAGGCAGGTCCTGAGCCCTGGAACGTGGCCCCCGTGTCCCCACCCGCTCCAGGGACACTCACAAGAGGCGGGGCACCTGCACGAGCCAGCGCACGTTGGGAGAGTGCACGCGGTGCGTGACGGCCCAGCGTGCCAGCTTGTCCCATTCATCCCGCGAGCGCCCGTAGATGGAAAGCCGCAGCTCCGCGTTCTGATATTTGCTCTCCTCCAGGTCCGACATCACCTCCTGGACACACGGGAGACAGCTGTGTTGCACCCGTCACGTGTGCTCAGACAGACCCCCCCCGCAGCCTCTTACGTGCCCTGCCTGCATGTCACCCCACCCAAGCGCCCCAGATACCCAGGCTCGAGGCTCAGCAGGGAAGGCTGCCACCTCACCTTGATGATGTGAGCAAAGTATTTCCCAGAAACTCTGTTATCGGTCTTGATGAAGATTTCTCGGAGGACAGACTCCCCAATGGGGTTGTATTTGGCATTGAACTTATCAAAGCGATGGAAGGTGTTCCTGTCCTGGGGGAGAGACGGGCAGGCCCGGGTCACCCCCGGCTCCCGGGCCCCGCTCTGACCCCACCCCACACCCCACGCCGCGGGGCCGGACCGCGTGCACGTCGAGCGTGTCCACGCTCAGGTCGTAGGCCGTGAGGTTCATGCTCTCGAAGACCTCCCGCAGCGTCTGCTCCCGGCCCTCCTCCACGTGCACGATCTCGTCCAGGTGCCGCTTCATGGCCCGCTTAATGAAGCGCAGCAAGTGCTTCTGGTTCATGCAGGACGAGGCGTGGATGTGTGTGTCCACCTGGGGAGGATCGGCACACTGCTGGTCTGGAGTCCGGGAGGCTCCAGGCTGGGCAGAGGCAGCGTGTCAGCGCCGCGGGAGAGCAGAGCCCACCTTGCGGATGTTGTAGAAGTCCCGGTGCGGCACCTTCTTCTGGGCGGCCAGCTCCTTCATCTCGTTCAGCAGCACGTGCATCTGGAACTTGGAGCTCAGGTACTGCAGCCGCCGGTAGCAGAACGACTTTCTGGGCATGAGGGGAACGTGGCAGGAACTCAGATCCTGAAGGGAAGCCCCTGGGGAGGGCCCGGGTGGCAGAGCGGAGGGCGGAGGCTGCCCACAGGGCAGCAGACCGAGGGGAAGTCTAGGGCTCGCCGACTACGGAGGGCAAGGCACCAGGAGACAGGTGTCTGGGACAGAGCTGGGTTGGAGCATCCGGGCCGAGAGGCGAGCTGAGTGTCTGGGACGGAGGGGACTCACATGGGGCCGTTGATAATCAGGGCCATCAGCACATTGACGTCAGCCACAAACTCCTGCAGGTCGGGGTAGGGTAGGTCCACCTCTGAGCTGGCGTTGGGGGGAGCTGGGGTGAGGGGAGCGAGCCAGACCTTTGGCCCCTCCCAAGAAAACACAGCCTCCTGCACTGTGTCCCCCCCCGGCACACATCACACCCCACTTACCCCTCGTCCGGGTCCCTGCGGACAAAGACGTGCACCACACCCTGCACCATGCGCAGACCCAAGCCTAGGTCCCCAGGCATGGTGCTCGGCTCACAGTGCTCATAGGGGTGCTGCTCCAGCGCTGGGGGGTGCACTGGGGCATCTGCAGGTGTGAGGAGGATAGAGTCAGGGCCAGGGCTCTTCCAGGCCACCCGCTGCCCAGTTCGAGGCCCCGCAGAGGCAGTTCCTGCCCAGACCTCCACCCATCCCATCCCCAGGCACTGAAAGGCTGAGTCAGGGAGTGGAGAGAGGCAAGCAGGTAGGCAGGAGGGAGATGGCCAGGAGCCCAGGGTACTTGGGGTGGAGCAGGGATGGGGCTCCCACCAGCAGACAAGGGGGTGTCGGGGCCCTGCTCGTAGGTCCGTGTCTCCAGAGGCTTCTCGGCCAGCTGCTGCAGGTAGCGGCGGGTAGTGGGACAGAAGCTTTGCAGCGACAGGGCCATGTACTTCTCCCGGATGAAGAGGGCCCGCACCACGCTCTTGGCTGCATCCAGCAGGTCTGTGAACGGCACCTGGAGACGAGGATGTAGGGTCACTCCCCGGGCTCTGGCTCACACTCAGGCTCACTCTTGCCCCCTCCCTGATGCCTTACCCTGGACCCCAAACTACTCCCACCTCCCGCAGGGCCGAGCCCAGGACCTCTCACACCACCCGGGTCCCCGGACATCAAGTCACTTCCAGTCAGGCCCTCCGTCCCTCTGGGTGTTGGAAAAAGAAACTCTGGACGAGCCTGCAGGCCACCAGGTGACAGAGACCCGAGGCCCCGCCCCAGACTCACCCCACATTTCTCCTCCCCAGAGATGGTGACCCGCTGAAACTCCCGCTCCAGCACATCACGCTCCCGCAGGCCCCGGTCACCCTGGCCCTCGCCCTGCTCCTTGTAAAGCCTGCGGGGGGGGGAAGGGCCCGAGGGAGGGTGTTGGAGCCCGCAGCGGGACAGGCCCCAGCCCGGCACCCCCCGGCCCTCCACCCTCCTCACTGTAGGTCTGAGTCGCTGTCTGTCTTCAGGAAATCTTGCTTGGCCCGAAGCAGGATGTCGGGCTCCAGCCTAGAGGGGAGAGGGTGAGAGGTCAGCCGGGCATGAGGGCTGGCCCCTGCTCCCAGGCCCCGGCACGGTGCTAGAGGCTGTGTACTCTGATCCAACCAGCAGAGCTACTTTGGCCGGCTTTAGAGAGGAGAAGCCAAGCAACATGCTCCAGGCCACGTGGGCAGCTGGAAGCAGACCCCAAAGGGTGGTCTCCGAAAGGGTCGGGATGGAGACGCAGGGGCGCGGGGTGGACTACGGGCACTCGGGAGAGGGAGCCCCAGCCCACTCCCCCTCCCCCGGGAGGGCTGGGGCCACCCTCACTTGACATCCTGGCTGATCTGTCGCTCCAGGCGCTGGCGCCGCTCCTCCAGCTGCTCGATGGGGCTGTCCTCGGGGAACTCATAGGGGGCGCTGCGGAGCTCACTCTCGGCCAGCGAGCGACTGAACAGCTCCTGGCAGGAGGGAGGAGGGAGGGTCAGGGCCGCCCAGCCGCAGCGCTAGCCCTTGGGCGGCTCCTGCAGAGTCTGGGGGCGTGGGGGGGCAGCAGGACCTGCGGGTGCCTGGGGGAGGCTGAGGATCGGGAGACAGCCAAGCGTGAGGTGAGGTGAGGGACAGCTGGGTGCAGGGGCGTGGGGAGCAGAGGCAGGGCTGGAGATGGGGGTGAGGGCGCGGGCGGCGCCAGGATACCTCGGCGATCTCCTTGCATTTGCCATCCATAGACGTGCGCAGGTCGAGCGGGAAGTGCTTGAGGCAGGGGGCGGGGCCCGGCAGGGAGCGGGCAGACTGCAGCGGAGGGGCCCCCAGACCACCCCGAGCCTCTGCAGAGACAGTGATGCCAGGGTCAAAAGGTGGAGGGGCAGCCCCCGGAAGCCCTGGGTCCTGCCCGCCCCAGGCTAGGGCCTGGATGGGGGCAGTCCCTCCTCAGAGGTCGAGGAGTGAGCCTGTGTGTGCGGCCCCCAAAGGCCCTCACCTGCTCTAGGCTCGGGGGTGGGGATCCCGAGTCTGCCCCTAGAATGAGTGGTTCATTTACTGCATGAGTAAGAACCTGAACCTGGCCCCAGCACAGGACCAGGGCCCGCCCCCTCAGGCCGTGAGAACCTCCATGTGACTGCCTCCCAGAGGCAGGCACATGTGTGTACATGTGCACACACCAGCACATACATGCAGACACCCACAGAGACATACACATGCACACAGACACACGCCAGGGCCTCACTAAGGACCAGGCAGCCACACCAGGGAGCCCCCGCCCGCAGCTCCCAGTGCAGGCCACCCAGAACCAGACCTGCTCCTGGACGGGCAGATCCTCCACTCAGAGGAACAGGGACTAGGCCCGACCACCTAGAACTAACTAAGCACAGGGGAAACCTCGGCTGTCACTCAGCTCTGACCTGGGTCCAGCCCTCCAGGGAAGAGGAGAAGCATGTGGAGGGCCTGGTGGGTTGAGGAGCCCTACCTCCTCCCTGGAGGCCTGCCCTCTCCCCCGGGACCCCAGGGCTGCCAAGATGGGGCCTGGCCCCAGCCTGTCCCTCCCACTGCTGGCGGCCCCTCCAAAGGCAGCTGCCACAAACAGTCTGCTCCACTCAGAGGCCCAGGATCTGGACCAGAGGCCCCACAGAGGGCCCTGGGGAAAGGGCATTAGAGGCCAGGGGTCTCTCTCCATCAAGGACAGAACCCCTCGACTGGGGTGCCAGGAGGCTGACACTGAAGGCCTTGAAGCTGCTAGTCTACAGGGGCTGCCTGAGCCCCCAGCCCACCCGGAAGGACCCTCCCTGGGATCAGCAGCCAAAATTCCAACAGGAAGCTCTCCACACCCAACTTGGCACTCCCAGCCAGCTGTGGGGGCCACTCCCCTCCAGTACCCCTCTTTCCCTCTACCCTGGCTTAGGGAAGGATTAGAGGCTCTGTCCAGGTAGCCTGCCTTAAAGTCTCTGCGCCTATGTCCCGACACTCCAGGTCTAGTCCCAAGGCCGGACGAAGGGAAGAGGGAGGTGCCTGCCCCAGATCCAGGACCCAGCCCCCCACTCCTGGCCCAGACCCTACCTGCAGGGCTCGGGCAGCTCTGACCAGCAGCCCTGTGCCCCTTGCCCGCCTGTTTGCCGAGTGAAGCTGCAGCCAGTCCCTCAGGGGCCGGCACGGGCTGTACCAAATGCAACTGCCAGCGGGGGAGACCCTGGGATGGATGTGAGGGGGGGTTTACTGGGTGGGGGCTGCTGGGGCAGTTAGAGGGAGCTCAGAAATCAAGGGAAGGAGCATCAGAGTTGGGAGACAAGACGGACTCCAGAACCGAACATGGCCTTTACCTCTACGGGGCCAGGGAGGGCCAGCCAAATGCGGGGCTCCCGAGGGGGGACGTGGGTAGGCTGGTGGGGGCAGGGCATGCCAGCAGGGAGGGGCCGAGCCTCCTTCAAGTTCGCTGCCCTAGGGGACGGTAAGTGCGCAGGGTATTGCTGGCCAAAGGGTGAGAGGGGAGAAAAAGGAGGGGGAGGAGCCCCCTCCCCAGTCTCCATACCCAAGAGCCCAGGCCGGCTTCCTCTGCCCAGTGGCCTTGTTGCTTACCAGTGTCCACGGGTCCCTCGGAAGAGCCAGGGCCTTTGTGGGGAGAGGAGCTGGCTGGCGGCTGGGGACTAGCCCAGTCCTGGGAGGGGTCAGTCACTGAGGCCTCCCCGCTGCCCAGCTAGCTGCTCAGGGGGCTGACTCACAGCCCCCTGGACCTCCAGCCCCTACTCCAAGCCTGTGATCAAGGTCAGGACCAGCTGTCCGGGAGAGGTCTGGGAGCAAGGGAACTCGAATGTGGAGGTCTCGGGTCTGAGTCTATCCCTGCTCACTGGCAAGTCTCTACCCACCCCTGGGAGGCCTTGAGGCCTCGTCTATAAACGGGTGATAAGTGGCCCTGTCCTGCGTAGCCGCAGCCGCACAAGGCTCACAGAGATAAGGGTTCCACGGTATCCTGTAAACCCAGGCTCTGCCGAGGCGAGGGGCTGCAGTCAGGGACTCCTGGGACCCCCAAAACACTCCCACGGTAGCCCCACTCTCTGAGGGGATGGAGGTTCCCTGGGCCCTGCATAGGGCCAAGGCCAGTGACAGTAAAGGGGAGGGAAGAGAACTTGGCAGGGACACAGAGAGGGTAACACTGTCTCTTATGTGGAAAAGGACAGAAGAGGAAAATAGGGTGCCCATCTCACCCCAGACTGTAAGATCTCTGCTTGCCCACGAACCCTGATCCTACATACCTCACATACCCCCACATATGGCCCCCGACTCTCTCTAGCTCCATCACAGGAGGCGGCCATAGACCTCCATGGCCGATTCATACTAGATCAATAGGAGTTGAGTCCAAGACCCAAATCTCATCCTCCCCTTCCCCCACCATCAGGGTGGTCAGGGCCTCCACAGCAGTGGCTTCCAGCAGCCAGCGCCATCCCCCAGCTCCAAGGCCACAACACAGGCTGCCGCAGGTTCACCGGAGGTGACACACTGACCATAACCTCCGTGCTCTCTGAGGCCAGGTCTGGAAGCCTCAGCTGCCTGCTGATCCCTTCTCTGGGGCTGTGCTGGCTGTTCCCGCCACACCACCGCATACACACACCCACACTCACACAAGGGGCATCCACCAAAAGCCAGAGGTGGCTACTCCACAGCCACTCCCACCAGTTCTAAGATTCCTACCAACCCATCTCCCCCTTGTCCAGCAGCCCTCTCACTCACTGCCAGGACTGCCCAGAAGTCAGGGAGAGGTCCAGGGCTTAGACCCACAAGTGTCAGATGCTCTGACCATCTGACCACTGAAGGCTCTCTGGTTCAGCGACAGGGCAACTGGTACACACCTAGCTCGGAACGAATAGGGCCTTAACCAGGGCTAGGGAGGGCAGACCCAGGGGACACACAGACCTGAGCTCGGAGAATACCCTCAGGACGGTACAGACCTTGCACCAGGCATCTTCAATGGCACAAGAAAACACAGGAGGAGGATGCTCAGGCTTTAGGTACAGACAGCTGCAAGGGGGCTGGGGGTCAGCATGACCTGGTCATGGCGGAGGTGGGGCCTTCCTGAGCCACAGGCTTGAGGGTAGCAGGCGACAAGCACAGGCCTGTGCAGCCAAGCCCTCTCTGAGACGGGCACTGCCGCACCATGCTGTCTGCTCCAAATGGTGCAGACATCCTACCAGAGAGGGAGTCGAACTGAGGGTGCAGGAGCACACTGGGCCTCAGCCCGCACTGGCCTGCCCAAGGACACCCCATCCTCCCAAGGAGGCGCCTAACACAGATCAGGAATGGGTAAACAGCAAATGACAGATGCCGGCCAGCCCCCAGCTGTGGGACCCCGGCCAGCAGCGGGTGTGCCCAGATGTTAGGCCCCTGCAAGGGGGATCTGGACCTGGCATCCTGGAAAGAGGAAACAGCCCCAGCAGCACAGTCTGAGCCCGCCTGGTAAAGGCACGGGCGCCAGTCAGGGTGACCA